AACTCCAAACGACTAAGTAGACAGAGAAAAAAAAGAAAACTCCAGGCTCTGTTTTTCAACAAAAGCAAAGAAGGGGTTAGGGGCAGAGGGACGGACAACTGAGAACGACTAAGTAGACGGAGAAAAAAAAGAAAACATCGGGCTCTGTTTTTTTGCGAAAGCAAAGAATGGCCTAATCACAGCGGGACGGACAACTCAAAACGACTAAGTAGACGGAGAATAAAAAGAAAACTCCAGGCTCTGTTTTTCGGCGAAAGCAAAGAAGGGGCTAAGGGGAGAGGGACGGGCAACTTAGAACGACTAAGTACACGGAGAAAAAAAAGAAAACTTCGGGCTCTATTTTTCTGCGAAAGCAAAGAAGCGGCTAGGGGCATAGGGACGGGCAACTGAAAATGACTATGTAGACGGAGAAAAAAAAGAAAACTCCGGGCTTTGTTTTTCGGTGAAAGCAAAAAAGCGGCTAGGGGGAGAGGGACGGGCAACTCAGAACGAATAAGTAGACAGAGAAAAAAAAAGAAAACTTCGGGCTCTGTTTTTCGGCGAAAGCAAAGAAGGGGCTAGGGGGAAAAGGACGGGCAACTCAGAACGACTAAGTAGACGAATTTAAAAAAGAAAACTATGGGCTCTATTTTTCGGAAAAAGCAAAGAAGTGGCTAGGGACAGAGGGACGGAGAACTCAGAACGACTATGTAGACTGAGAAAAAAAAAAAAACTATGGGCTCTGTTTTTTGGTGAAAGCAAAGAAGGGGCTAGGGGGAGAGGGACGGGCAACTCAAAACGACTAAGTAGACGGAGAAAAAATAGAAAACTCTGGGCTCTGTTTTTCGGCGAAAGCAAAGAAGGGGCTAGGGGCTTTAGGACGGGCAACTCAAAATGACTAAGTAGACGAAGAAAAAAAAGAAAACTTCGGGCTCTGTTTTTTGGCGAAAGCAAAGAAGGGGCTAGGGGCAGACGGACGGACAACTCAGAACGACTATGTAGACAAAGAAAAAAACAAAAAACCCGGGCTCTGTTTTTCAGCGAAAGTAAAGAAGGGCCTAGGGGTAGAGGGACGGGCAACTCAAAACGACCAAGTAGACGGAGAAAAAAAAAAAAACTGTGGGCTCTGTTTTCCGTGAAAGCAAAGAAGGGGCTAGGGGCAGAGGGACGGGCAACTCAAAACGACTTAGTAGACAGAGAAAAAAAAGAAAACATCGGGCTCTGTTTTTCGGCGAAAGCAAAGAAGGGGTAAGGGGAAGAGGGACGGGCAACTCAAAACGACTAAGTAGTCGGAGAAAAACAAAAAAACTCCGGGCTCTGTTTTTCGGCGAATGCACCCTTTTTTTCGGCGAAAGCAAAGAAGGGACTAGGGGCAGAGGGGTGGGCAACGCAAAACAACTAAGGCGAAAGCAAAGAAGGGGCTAGGCGCAGAGAGACGGGCAACTCAAAACGACTAAGTAGACGGAGAAAAAAAAGAAAACTGCTATGTTTTTCGGCGAAAGCAAATAAGGGGCGAGGTGCAGAGGGACCGACAACTCAAAACGACTAAGTAGAGAGAGAAAAGTAAGAAAACTTCAGGCTTTGTTTATCGGCGAAAGCAAAGAAGGGGCTAGGGGCAGAGGGACGGGCAACTCCAAACGACTAAGTAGACGGAGAAAAAAAAGAAAACTCCGAGCTCTGTTTTTCGGCGAAAGCAAAGAAGGGGCTAGGGGCAGAGGGGCGGGCAACTCAAAACGACTAAGTAAACAGAGAAAAAAAAGAAAACTCCTAGCTCTGTTTTTCTGAGAAAGCAAAGAAGGGGCTAGGGGCAGAGGGACGGGCAACTCAAAACGACTAAGTAGACGGAGAAAAAAAAAAAAACTGCTCTATTTTTCGGTGAAAGCAAAGAAGGGGCTAGGGGCAGAGGGGCGGGCAACTCAAAACGACTAAGAAGACGGAGAAAAAAAAGAAAACTCCGGGCTCTGTTTTTCGTCGAAAGCAAGGAAGGGGCTAGGGGCAGAGAGGCGGGCAACTCCAAACGACTAAGTAGACGGAGAAAAAACAAAAAACTCCGGGCTCTGTTTTTCGGCGAAAGAAAAGAAGGGGCTAGGGGCAGAGGGACGGACAACGAAGAACGACTAAGTAGACGGAGAAAAAAAAGAAAACTCCGTGCTCTGTTTTTCGGCGAAAGCAAAGAAGGGCCTACTGGCAGAGGGACAGACAACTGAGAACGATTAAGTAGACAGAGAAGAAAACGAAAACTCCAGGCTCTGTTTTTCAGTGAAAGCAAAGAAGGGCGTGTGGTGATTGCTTCGCATGAAGGGAAGCATAGGGGAGCAAGGGAGGCAAGAAGCGTGCTAATCTGTTCTTAGGCGAGAGGCTTCAACAAGGGAGACAGGGAGCGTGATGAGCAAAGCGAGAGCTGATATCCCGGTTGTGACGCCGTGATTTCTTACTGTATAGCCATATGAGAGGAACGATAAAAAAAAGGGGGGAGAGAGAAGGAGGAGGAGGGGGGGTAGCAGTCATCCCTCCTCCGCGATGGTGGGCGTTTATAGGAGCATGTAAACCGCGCGCAGGGAAAAAAGGCGAGCGAAAGAAGGAGAGTTGTGCCGGAGGAACGTCGGTTCGAGAGCCAATACCGCCCTATCGATGTTGCCGATCAACTAGTCAACCATGGCCAGATCAACCTCGTAGTCCATGTCGCTCGCCGCAGTGCCTTGCCGAAAAAAACTCCAGAGGTCCTGTCACCGTCACCGTTCCACCTGAGCGTGTCGTGAAGCCGTCGTTGCCCCCCGCCACGCCGTACGTATCTCTTGGTCGAGCAAGGCGCACGCGCACTGAAATTGAGATGGGAGCTAGCAAGGGGGAGCCCAATGCTAAATAGTCCGTGGCTAATCGTCGATATCAATGTTTCCATCGTTGGCACCAACTATCCCGTGTTCGCATCAATTGGAGCAACCGAAAAAAGAAAAAAAAGGAAAAAAAAAAAAAAAAAAAGAAAMAAAGAAAAGAAAAACAATTGGAAAAAATTCAAAACGTTACCCTGAGGTGGAACGAATAGTCGCACCCCGGAGCACAAGTGCCCACTTGTAGTTCTCTTTCCTACTGCATGTTCTGTTCTGCTGCTCCTTAAAGAAGGTAGGGGGTACTGAAAAAAAGAAAGAAAAAAAAAAAGAAAAAAACAAAAGAAGAAAAAAACAAGGAACCAATTACGCGACTTGTGGGGGTCCTCTAATGCAGGTGTTATTCCGATCCGTGCACATGAGCTATGCGCACTGTTAGCAATAGGATCATTCTCCCTTCTCTTCTTTATTATTGAGTGGAGCGACCCATAACCCTGCAGGGTGCCACGAATATAGTCTGTAAGGTGTCGTTCTTCTGAGGTTGTTCTCAGTTCATTACGTGACACGTGGTTCCGAAAAACCGTTCATACAAAAACGAAGAAAAAAAGAAAAACAGAAAAAAGAAAAAAGAAAGAAAAAAGAAAAAAGAAAAAAGAAGGGAAGAGGGGAATTATTCTTTTACCCTTGGTCCGACTTTCCTGCCTTGGCTGGCTTCCTGTGCCTTTCTCCTCTGAGACCCTGTTTATGTGTGTGTGTGTGTGTGTGCGTGGCCCACCCCTTTCCCACCAGTGTTAGGGGAGGGGGGGAAGGCCGGATACCGAAGGGTACCGGGCCTTCCGGCCCCTCCCCCCCGGTTTCCGCCACACACACTCTCACAGACAACCATACACAGATTAGGGCATGCGGAATCTGGCAATCAGGATGCTTCTGACCATGATGTCATCCACCCTCCCCTGTTGATATTTGTCCCTGTTCTCAAATACTCTCTCGATTATTTTCCAACATTCACGTCTGCAGAACCCGTTAATGACCATAGTTTGGACAAGAGCGTTAATTTCAGAGGCCGCTTCCTGTACGTCTGAACATAGGAGTAGGACAAGTATCGTTTGCGCTGTTAGTATCCGCAAAGATTGTGAAATGTTGCGGTTGGATTTAAATTTCGTAAACCTGACAGCATTGAAACTGTGGTTGCCTCTCCTGTCGTGTTTCGATGTGGCATATATGCCATCCATGGTGGAGGCAATAGATACAGTGATGTTCAAAAGGTTCGCAACCAATCCTTGCCCGTCGATTTTGACGTCGGTCATTTCCTTGACGTCGATGTATTGGTGTGGGTAGAGCCTCAGGGTATGGTCGAGGCCTGGGGGGCAATTGCCGAGGAATCCGGCAATTATCATGTTGTTTAATGCACACAGGTCATCGATATACCTATACGTGTCTTCGAAGCACCTAACCGCTTGCCAGTCCTGGCTTTCCACCAGACGTGAGATCAATCCAAACTCGTACTTAAAAAAATAATACATCGCAAAGGATGGGAGAGTAGGCAAGGCCCATCAGGATCCCGAGAATCTGGCGCCAAACCCTGACACCCATCTGCACAACCCCGTTAGTTACCAACCATCCACAGACCCTGATGATGTCTCCTTCTCTGAAGCAGAGTTTCTTGTGCTCCCTCTCCCGCTCGCCATCCACCCAGTGGGGATGCAGCGAATCGTTGGCGGCAATAGTGATTGCGACGATGTCCCTTGCTGTCCTTGACCTTCTCCATTCCATGGTCGTCTGCACGAAGAATCTGATCGCGGAGATTAGTACATCTTCTGAGTTATCTGTCGGTATGGCTTCGAAGCAGCGAGTGATGTCGCCGATATAGATGGAGTAAATTCTCTCCGGTAGGTTGGCCACGAATTCCCCGACAGAAGTGATAGGCCACTAGTAGTTGGGTCTAACGCCATGTTCCGTCAGCACCTCCTCCGCCCTGCTGGTACATAGTGCTTGCACGTCCGCCGCCAGGAACTTGAGCAGACAGTCGCAGATGTCCGCGATGTGAGAAAGCACGGAGCCAGTTGTGTTAGTGATCCACCTGAAAGATCACTTGTGTTCCTTGTATACCGCCATTAGATGAGGTAGCGGCATTCTTTTTTCGAAGTGCCCGGCAGGTGCGAAAGCCTTAGCCCGTGCTAACACCTCGGCACTGACCTCGTCGGGCGGTCGTTGAAGCGGGACAAAGTCGGGGCCGGACAGGCGCTCTAGGGCTAACCTCCGAATGAAATTGATGCAGACGAAAGTCGGCGTAGGGGGGGCTTTGTCTGTTGGGCACACCAGGTACCTCCCAGTCAGCCACTCGATCTCTTTCCTGACAGCAACGTTGTTGATGGGTTCTTCCGCGATGTGCATGTGCCGCAAGTGATAGTTCTTGATACGGCGTCTAATCTCTTCCATTGCCACATTCTTCACCTGTCGTTCCTCCTCCATGGATAGCTCGGCGTGGCATCTCCTTGTCGTCAACAGGATGTCCAGTGCTTCATCCAGTTCTCCCACCGCATAGTCCTCATCCAGAGCCCTCATAGGAATGTGATTGAGGCCTGCATTGAGCATCAGCTGCAGGCGTCCATTATTGGTGATCCCTGTGTCTCGACGTGATGACATGTAAGTATCCATCGTCCGGCAGCAGCTTGATGGAGGCTGGACTGAAAAATTCCTCATGCCTGCCGTCCCCGCACCTGCAGTAATCCGGTTTGTAGCTCGCTTCCCACTCTGCCAGCTTGAACTTCTTAAAGACCTTGCCTGGTTTGCAGAGCTTCGCCCCAAGCGGCTCGTCATAGCGCCATCCTATGATAACCTCATGCAACCAGTCCTTCGACCTCTCCCTTGCGACCTGTCGTAGCGCATCCAGAGCTATCCTCCTGAGTGGTGCAGCCTCCATGAGCCTGCTTGTGTATCTGACGTGGATAAATTCCTTCCTGTCTTGTTTCTTCCTCCTCCATGCGGTCCTGCCAGAGGGTAGGGTGATCCAACCTCCTGCTTCTTTTGGTACGGAGTCTTCAACCTGCGCATCGTACAGTACTTTGATGAGGGAATCACCAATGCGTAGAGGGTTTGCACGTTAGGAGGAATAACGGATCATCACGTGATTGAAGGAAAAAGGGGAAAAAAAAAAAAAAAAAAAAAACCCGGGAAAAAGAAAAAAAGGAAAAAAAGGATCCGCGCGCATGCGTCAAGGGGATTCGATGGATCCCTTCCTCCCTCTTTTGTGGGTGGAGTTCCCTTTCTTCGATGTAGCCCCTTTCACAGAATCCGCAGTAGAGATGGTCGAACTGCCCTGCGAAGGTAGATGTTGTCCTCTATTGTCCCGTTGACCAGTACTCGGTATGCTAGCGGTAGCTTTACCTCGCCTACGTTCGTTGTGTACCCTCTCATCAGCTTGTTGCTGGTTGCTGCACGAGGGATTGTGGGTAATACTCTCTACCTGCCTGTTGTCACGGGGCGGGGGCATGTTGATGGGAACATCCTGCCTTGTTCTTGGCTCAAAGGGTAATACCCTTTGCCTGGGCGAGATAACGAGTGGTGGGTTGTTCCTTTGCCTTTTGTTGGCCTGGTCGCGTGGGGAAATCCTGGTTCTTAGTCTGGGGTTTCCCATGATTCTCGTTGGCAGCAGTACCCTGCCGATCGTGAGTGGCGTGTTATATTTCCATTTTGTCCTGTCTACCACATATTCCACGGTTAGCGACGTGTGATGTTCAAGGGTAGAGATGACATCTGTCATTTCCTGTCGGATGAACATGAAGGTTACGCATGCCTCGATTGCTTCCTTCCACGAAACTCGTAGGAAGTGGATAAACATGGAGGTTTTCACCTTCACCGAAGCGACATTTGAGAATAGAATGTCTGGGTGGGCGAGTAAGTACCAGATGGCGTGATCCATCCAGATGGGTCTGTTCCCACAATCTCTCTTCCACTCCGAAGCACACAGGTATCTCAGGTACGGGCGTCCCACATTCCAACATTTCCTGAGTCCTTTGAGGTCAACTTCCGGGGCAGATCCGAGTTTTTTCTGCCACATGACTGGACCAGTATACTCGCACTTCGCGGGATCCAGCGACGATAGGAGAGGGAATTTCAGGAGGGTTGGTCTGAAGGATTTCTTACCTGGTGGGCAGTGCGGAAGATCACCTGTCATCGCGTTAGCCTTACATTTGGCGACCTCCTCCTTCGTCAAATTCCCAAGGAATACAAGCGCATTGAGGGAAAAGGGTGTGAGATAATTAAAGGTTTCCAATTTCCATAATGCGTGCCTGAACCCCGTGCCGGTGTGCTCGAACCAATGTGGAGATGGTAATGGGGCGAAGGCCGTGTACTGCCCATTTTGGGATGAGTTAGTGGTTGGTGGGCTATTGTTAGCGCCGGCGGTGATGGCGGCAATTGCGGCTTTCATTTCTGCCATGTCCTGATCGTCCATGTCCATGGCTCCTGCGATGGTGCATTCGCCCGGTGGTTTTTTGGACGCCTGACCCTGAAGGTGTGAGTGATCTAACCCCCAAATCTGTAGAAAGATCCGTTCGACTTTAGCAGTCCTGGCAGTGAGTTCTACGCATTCCCTTTCATAACCTATTTTCCTGACTTCCAGTTCCCGCGCCAAGCCCTGGAATCTGGCGTCGAAAGCATTTTTCCCCTCATCCCACGCGGAAGCAATATTAGCGAGATCACTGAAATCTATTGTGCTAAAAAAAATTGGGAACCTCCCCGTCTCGACCGTCTTTCTCAGGGCTTCTAGGATCTCGGGTTTCATGGTGGCGATGCGTGCTTGCACTGGTTTGCTTGGCCACGGATGATCCTTCAACCATAAGTACTTGCCAGTGATTTCTTCCCACCAGCCTCCAGGGAAAAACTCCTGCAGGGGAATCTGCAAAAAGAACGCACAAAAAACAGCCAGGGCTAAAGAAATGGAAAGACTAATAATAGTAGCAGGAATTGTTGCTATGGTCATTGCTCATAGATACATTCGCGCATACTAGTCACACCCATTGTCATTCTCGTAACTATCCCAATAATACTGGATTTCTTTAGGCATAATACCCATGTTATCCACACCAGGGTTCATCATCAGGGGTGTGGCTGGTGGGACCCACCACCACAAGCGCTAACGAGGGGATTCCCCTATAAAGTTATGTGTAATGGTATGTCATGTGTGAAAACATGTCGAAACATGGTATGGAAACCATACCATAATCAAGCTCTAAAATAATCCTTAGGCGTAACCCCCAATATTCTTGTCAGGTGAACACAGGATTTTAACAAGTCTACCATTCCAAACAGGGATACATACGGACCATTGTTTGGGTTTCTTCAATTGCTCATGCGCATAAACCAACCAAGGGGGCATAAAACTTGTTTTGTTCGTGTGGCTCTCGCCTTAATCATGGGGATGTGTAAGGGTATGCGATCGTATTCCATAAATCCCAGACCTCGTTATGTGTGGTAGTAGATACGATAGCACACGGTCTTCGGCCGTGTGTCGTGAGCTACTATCATTCGTAAGTGCCGGGACGGAGGAGAAGTAGTAAAGAAGTGTTCGAAGTACCCCGGGGGGATGCTTCGTCATGCTGCGCGTGGTGGTTGGTGTGATAGTTGTTTGCGTATCATTCCTACCATCGTACGCAGGTGCGGACCCGAAAAAAATCCATGTATAAGGAATATGAGATAGTGAGTGCGCTTTTCATTATGGGGTATTATTGGAATACATACGAAAGGGTAGTGATCCCAGACCACATTCGATGGTGGGTGTATACCATGCCGTACGTAGGTGTGGGGATGAGCAGGGGGGTTCAAAACGCATAATAACCTCCTAGTAAAATGACGTCAGGCGTCGTCAGCCACCGATGGTCAATGCTGCGGGCAGCCTTAGAGTTGCGATTCACAATAACTAGGTCTTAATGCCGCATAATTAAGAGAAATAAACGAGGTATTCCAAGGGGATATCCCATCACGCCACATCCGGTGGTGGGTGCCATAAGCATGCGATGGATGATTGTATATCGTCGTCAACCATCGTTCGTGCGCGTGGTCATAAGCAAGTAAGCATGCGTGGGAATGAACGTAATCCTAATATAGTGTGTCAATTTTTTTTTTATTTTTTTATTTTTTTTGAGGATATCGTCATTTGATAAAATAGTAATACCGTAATCATCAAACCGTTCTTGGTTAGTAGCAGGTTTTGCGATCCCTTGGGGTCGTGTCTGCTACTCCCCGTGAACTGTTGTCCATGCGATCTGAAAAAGCAAACAATCATTTACAACCTCAAAAGTTGTGGTTCAGAGAAAATAAGGCGAGAAGCAAGAGGCGAAAGTCGGTAAACGAAGGAAAAAAAGGAAGAGAGGAGAATGAAAAGAAAAGGAAGGAAGAAAAAAGAAAGGAATAGAAACAACAAAAGGAAAAGACGAAGGACACCGCGAAGTGGTAAACAAAATAGTAGTCTCTTATCTGGTCGTAACATTGAAACAACACCAATTAGCAACAATCTCAAGTGCGCGAAAGAGTAAGCATCGAAAAATGCGAATGAAAGACCGACTGTATTCCAAGAGGTGCTTCCACGTAATATGGGAATCGCCTCGACAACCTGAGCAGGGAGGGTGGTGGCAGTCCCTGAAGCGCTTTTCTGCCGCTTAGCCACGAATGCACGACTTCATCAGAGGGTAGACACCTGCTTATTCCTTGTATGGAGCGGTTGCGAGGAGGGAGGCAACAGAGATTGCTTCGCATGAAGGGAAGCATAGGGGAGCAAGGGAGGCAAGAAGCGCGCTAATCTATTTTTAGGAGTGCCTGCGAGGAGAGAGGCTTCAGCGAGGGAGACAGGGAGCGTGATGAGCAAAGCAAGAGCTGAAATCCCGGTTGTGACGCCGTGATTTCTTACTGTATAGCCATATGAGAGGAACGAAAAAAATGGGGGGAGAGAGAAGGAGAAGAAGGAGGAGGAGGGGGGGTAGAAGTCATCCCTCCTCCGCGATGGCGGGCGTTTATAGGAGCATGTAAGCCGCGCGCAAGGAAAAGAGGTGAGCGAAAGAAGGAGAGTTGTGCCGAAGGAACGTCGGTTCGAGAGCCAATACCGCCTCATCGATGTTGTCGATCAACTGGTCAACCATGGCCAGATCAACCTCGTAGTCCATGTCGCTCGCCGCAGTGCCTTGTCGAAAATAACTCCGGAGGTCCTGTCACCGTCACAGTTCCACTCGAGCGTGCCGTGAAGCTGTCGTTGCCACCCGGCGTCCCTTAACTTTGATGCAACGTTGGATTTAGTGGCCGTCTTGGCAGCCGAGGACCTTGAGTACGCGCCTCTTTGACAGACCCGTTCAGATTCCGCGTGTTCGGGGAGTTGGCAAGAATCCCGTGCCCTGCCCGTCTTGGAATGCGGACTGAGGAGTTCAACGTGCATGCAAGTCGGTGGGAGCCAGGCCCTCAAGGAGGAAGAAACCAGGATGGTGGGGCACGTTGTGGGTGCAATCCGTCGCCCACCGTCGACAGTGAGAGGTTTACATGTGGGCGTGCCCGGGGGACAGTAGAGCGGAGCGGCCGGGACACTGTAGGAAACGCTGCAGCAACCGCCCATGTAAAGACCCCTCCCCCACTTTGACTTCAAAGTTCTAATTTGAATGTTTGCTACTACCGCAGGGTCTGCATCGGGGCCTGCCTCGTCTAGGCCTACTCATCAGGCCCCGCAGCGGGCCTGGACCTTTGACCCCATGGCCTGCACTGAGAAGTTTGGGGAGGCCCGAAAGATCGGGGATTGTGCCATAAGCACAGA